TGGGATAATGCCTTACATGTTCACAAATTGACGGACTAGTACTGTCTGTAAGAATTTCGTAGGACGCGTTAAGAATGATAAAATATTCTATGTATCTACTGGAAACGAGTCGCATAGCTTTTATGTTCCACTATTTGCATTCATACCTGGGATGTGTACATTGCCATGGTTTGGCTGTGTAATAATCGTTGGTCTTAGGGCTAATTCTACACTGTTTTTGAAAATTGTTTAAGATTTCACCTCCTTCAGCCAAGTTTATTGATTCAGTGTAATTGTTTCAACTCTGAATCCTGATGATGTCTTATTTTGTCAGAAATTTTACGTATGGTTTTCCTTTTAATGTTTTTAGAAGGGTTTATTTTAGGTCAACCACTGGTGTGTCCACCGTGGGAAAGCCATTTGTGCCTTTTCAATATGCCAGGAATTTTGGGCCTAACTCTAGGCCTACAAGTGCCTGGCCTCATCGACCATATGTGAATACCTGGCCTGGGCCTGGGCTATCCCCAGGACCAGGCCAGGTACTATGTGATAGTAGAGATTTTTCTGCTTCAATTCCGGAGTTCTCACAGGGAATGGATTTCTCCCTCTACTTACCAAGTGTTAAAAGAATGTGGTATTTTTAAACCATACCGTCGTTGTAGAGCTGGTAGAAGAGTTACTGTCCGGAAACAAATATGTGTGCTGAATAACATCAAGACGTCTTCCATCAAAACAAACCCGTGGTGTCAATTTTAACAACCTACGCTATCCCCATGTTAGCCCCCACCATTCTTGTCATCGAGGTGCAAAAATTAACTTAGCAACAATGAATGCCAGGTCTATTAGAGCCAGAAATAAATCAAGTACGCTCTGTACTGATTTTATTATCGACAACCATCTTGATATTCTGGCTGTTGTTGAGACATGGCTGACAGGAGATAGCAGTAGAGATGGCCGTGTCATTGCAGACATAAAAACAACTTTGCCAAACTACAATGTTGTTCATACCCCTCGGACTCACAGCCGAGGTGGGGGCATTGTCCGTGATGACATTGGCATTGTCCGTGATGGTATTCACATCCACAAATGTGAGTCTCCTCTTCTTAAATCGATGGAATGTTCTAAGGTTACATTATCCTCGCTTTCTACTTCCTTCCACTTAGTTGTTATTTACAGGATTCCCCCCGAATACCAAGAACAAGCTTACATCATCTTTTGAATTTTGCTCTTTACTTGAATCAGTTAGTGTTAATTGCTCCAATTTACTTTTTGTAGGGATTTCAATTTCAATTCCATGTGTATAATGTCAATGATAGAGATGCTGCATTGTTTCTCAATTTTCTTGATATATTTGACTTACATCAACATATTGAAGATTCAACACACATTGCAAACCATACACTAGACTTACCTATTTCCCACAAAGGTTCTGACCTGCTTAACAATATCTCTATACAATATGGTATGCCTTCAGATCACCATGCCATAAAGTGTCAGGTCAACATCAGTCGTCCGGGACCTAGCAGGATGCAAATGACTTCGAGAAATCTGAAATGAATTGACATCGACAAGTTTCAGTCTGATATTTGCACCTGGCTCTCTCCAACTTGCCCTGCTTCAGATGTAGACTCTTTAGTGGGGGCTTTTACTGAGGCTTTAAAGACAATAGGCCTATTAGATGTTCATTCTCCGCTATTGAATCGTTCTTTTGTGCTTAGACCTTATGCACCGTGGTATTCGTGCGACAACCATAAAATGAAGGTGGAACGCCGACGTTTAGAACGCAAGTGGTTAAGACCTGGTCTTATGGTACATAAACAACTGTATCTAAGCCAATGTACTAAATACAACGAACATCTATGCAAAGCTGTAGCCTATTATTACAAAAACAAAATTTTGGGGTGTGATCAACGCAAGCTGTTTCGTGTCGTTGACCAATTAACATCGGCTAGCACCTCAACGCTTCTTCCGTCTTTTGACAATCCCAAAGCACTCACTAACAGGTTTTCTGATTTTTTTTCAAGTCAAAAGTCGAAAAATATTGCAGCACATTTTTATCCAGCTCTCCTCACACTTTAACATCTGCGTTCGAGTCTTGCACAAGTGACTTTTCTCATTTTGTTGCTGTCTCAAAAGAGGAAGTTCTTGAGGTTATTAAGTCATCTCCGATTACCTCATGCTCACTTGACCCACTCCAATTGAAATTGTTCAAGGCTTGCCTTCCTGTTCTCATACCAATTATAACTGAAGTTGTCAATACTTCTTTGAGATCAGGTTTATTTCCATTTTCCCTTAAGCATGCCTACATTACACCCTTGTTAAAAAAAAACCATCATTGAATGCTGAAGGCTTTCAAATTTTAGACCCATTTCCAATCTTTCATTCCTTGGAAGATTGGAAGGGTGGCATCCAATAAGCTGCAATCATATCTTAACAGTAATGATTTATTCGCTTCCAGACAATCGGCCTATCGACCAAACCATAGTGTGGAATCTGCTCTTCTTTATGTCCAGAACGATATTCAGATTGCACTTGACAACCGTAATGAGGTTCTAATAGTCCTTTTAGATTTCAGTGCTGCTTTCGATACCATCAATCATAAGCAGTTACTAAACCGTCTATCTTCGCGTTATGGTATCTCTGGTACCGCCCATCAATGGTTTGCATCATATCTAGAGAATAGGTCTCAGTCAGTCGCTATCAAGGATGTTTTGTCAAATCCTACTTCACTTACATTTGGTGTTCCGCAAGGGTCGGTTGTTAGGCCACTTTTATTCATTCTATTTACTGCTCCGCTGCTTGACACAATTGTTGCACATGATGTGCAGTGTATGGCATATGCCGATTATACGCAGCTTTATGTTATTTTCAATCCGGATCAGCGCGGTGCTGCTGTTAGTAGACTAGAATTGTGCATTGGCAAAGTTCGATCTTGGTGTCAGTCCAACAACCTTATAATGAATGATGCAAAAACCGAACTCATTCATTTTTCATCACGTTTTGAGCCTGCTCGCTGGACTCCTTCTATTAAAATAGGAGATTCATTCATTGAACCTTAGCTGTCCTGCAGAAATCTTGGAGTTGTTATAGACTCATCACTTAGCATGTCCAATCAGGAACACAACATCTATAAAGCCGGGCTTCAATTAATTCGTAGAATTTGGAGTATCCAGAAGTACCTAGAACCTAGATCAACTGAGATTCTCGTTCATGCTTTTGTAACATCAAGGCTAGACTGTTGTACCTCATTGCTTTATGGTTTGCCAGCTAAGGATATTTCAAAACTTCAGCGAGTTCAGAATGCAGCTGCCCGCTTGGTCTCTTTAAGCCCGATTAGGGAACATATCACACCTGTGTTAAGGCACCTTCATTGGCTTCCTGTAACACAAAACACTTTTAAGATTTTGTTATTTATTTTTAAATCTCTTTATAATTCCTCGCCTATGTTTATTTCACAACTAATTCATCCTTATATTCCTAAGAGGTCTCTGAGATCTAGTTCAGAGTCTCTACTTGATCATTCTATTCGCCCGTCAACAAAGCATTATGGCAATCGTTCTTTTTCTTGGGCTTCTGTCTTCCTTTGGAATGCTTTGCCTATTACAATCCGACAGGCAACCTCCATTGTTGATTTTAAGGCAGCTTTAAAAACTCACCTTTTTAACATGTACTTTTCTTAAATTTCTCCTAGCATTTTGATTTTTATTGTTACGCGCATTGAGGCTTTAGCATAATGCGCTATATAAGCCAAAATTATTATTAATTATTATTATTATTATTATTATCTGGGCCCTGCCTGAGCCAGTAGAACGTTTCCTTTGGGTATGTACCCTAGCTGCACTGATGGGGCCTGGAATGCCGAAATGGATCTGTCTGCAGATATTGTGATTTTTTCCAGTGGATACTTAGTTCATTTTGTTATTCTGATTTGGATTTTCTCTACTGTTCCCTTAAAATAATATATTGGGTTATACGTTTTCATTGATTTTGTTTTACAGTGTTTCTCAAATCGTTAATTAAGTTCACAATATGCTTCACGTAAGAACGGACATGTTTACTCATTTATAGAGTCTCTATGAACTGACAATATTTGCTTTAGACTTGATCGAACAATTAAATATTTCACTCGTTTAAACGTTATTACAAAGCATCAATTCCTCCATTGACATTTATTCAAGGGAACATAATTGCCATCTAGCCTGATCACGTCATTTATAGTGGTTATTCAAATGAAATAATTGGAAATCTGAAATTCAACTCTACGTCGATAGGTGGAATAATAAGCATTTATAATAATAATAATAATAATAATAATAATAATAATAATAATAATAATAATAATAATTTATTACAATTTTTTTTTACATATACTCATGCTGATATACAGTATAATTAAAATGATTGATACAATTTTTGGGTTAATCAATTCAATAATAGATTTTTATTGCGCACATCTCAAATTTCGTATGCTCAAGGCGAAAGTGCCATCTTTACATCCGTTTTACCTAAACATGTATAAAGGTCACTGTATTACCTTTTAAGGCATCATTTACATATCAATGATTTAAATAAACACATACATCCGCTAATAAATGATTTGAAAGAAAATACAAACAAATAATTTGACTGCCAACACGTGATCCGAAATGTAGATATTGATTGGACGCTTCATCAGTATATAGATTTACCCAACCACAATATATTAGCTTATGTGCTGGTTGGCGAGCAGAACCAGAAGCGGTACCAATTAACTCCAATATATATTTTTATCTCATATAAAATGGAGGAAAAAAAGAACTTTAAAGAGGCCCAAAATGCAGGAGATGAAGTTGGCATATCTGACCGGTTTCAGTCATTTGGAGAACAGACATCTATCCACGGGATACGAAACGTAACGAAGGGAAACAGACTGAAACGAAGGTTGTATAATTCGAATTCATATAATAAAAACTGCACAAATAGTTTGTTAACCTTTACTATTAGACTCATATATTGTTGTAAGAGCCATTATGAACATAATGATAAATGCTGTTAAATTTTGCTTGATCCCATTATTTGATAGGCCTAATAAAAATAGTAATAACATGATAATGGTAAATTTATAAAGTGCATATTAATACTATTTTCATTATATGCGTTGGTCAGTACCCTGATCATTTGAATAAATGTCCCTGAAGCATACCACATTATTGCAGCAGTAATCAGTGCATTAATGTTTCAACTTCCAAATATCCTATTTTACTCGTGGGGGTTGCCTCTCCGACAGACAAATTTTATCTTGGTGTGGGCCTATTTTTATATATTTTGTTATGGTCTGACTGCCCAACGAGCTCTGTCCGTCGGGGGCTTGATCTGGCCGGTGAGGCTTAAGTCCCTGCCCCAACCCCGCTGGCGCCGCCACTGTTGCGGGAAACGTTACTTGCGCTATCCTGAATACAAATCGACATGTGCCCCTGTTGTATATCTGTCTCTTATACACATCTAGATGTGTATAAGAGACAGCCATAGGGGTCATCGGGGTCATTCGGTTTGCTATTAGGAACAGAGTCACGAGATACATTGCGCCAGTCACTAAGGCGTGACGTGGACCGATGTTCGGAGAGTCCATCATCTATGTTAGGACTGTAGGTGCCACCGGTCTTTAGGGCAAAAATTAAATCATCAAAATCGTTTGGATACGTTCCTATTTCGGCTAACATTAATTTGGCTCATCCCACAATCAAATTCACTTCTAACAAATATACAAGCCGTGTAGACTTTTTGGACAATTGTGCACTTAAAACTGATCTCTTCCGTAAACCCACGGATAAACATGTACCTGCTTCCTAGCAGCTGTCATCCGCCGAACTGTACAAAAAAACATTCCGTACAGCCAAGCATTGCGCATGAGACGCATTATGTTCTTCTGATTTCGATTTTCAGAATCGCCATAGCATGTCGAGATACATGGCTAAATGAAAAGAAAATAGCCTATATTCACTTCTAACATTATTACTATCTTTATTATTATTATTATTATTATTATAATTATTATTATTATTATTATTATTATTATTATTAATTTTATTATCATTATTATTACTATTGTTATTCTGCCTAAGCTGGCCTAGGTGTGATGTTATGCCTACGTAGCCTTTTAGATGATCATGCCCAAATGTTATTTTAATTTTCCATTTTCAGGAAGTAATAATTATGACTTGGCCTATATTTTTTGAGTTACACATGATGTTACTACTTTCATCTCTAAGCATAGTTTTATATGAATGTTAGATCTAGTAACTGCATCATGAAACAAATTATAACGGCAACAGGTATAGTAAACAAGTGAAACGTTTTATCAGGTAACAGTGAAATTTTGAAGATCTACACTATTGTTTTCTGCAGTTTCATTTCCGTAAAAAATGTGTTTAGGATTTATGATTTTTTTTTTGTGTTTAATTAAAATTTTGGATTTTATGTAGAGTATTGTCATGATAGGCGGCCCAGTGTAACACAGTGCATACATCTGGGTTACCCTCCAATAACAACAATTATTACGAAATAACAATAATTTAGGAAAAGTTAACTATGAAGTAATAATTTCTTTCCTAGTGAAATTTTAATAACTTAATTGTGATTTAGTCAGTCAATTGTGGGTACTCAGTGCTACAAACAACCACTACAATATTTTTTTTTTCTAATTACATCATGCTTTATAATCATTTGGGCGATTCCATGGTAACTGACGTTACATTTCATTCTTTATTATAGTCACTTTATAATAAAAACATGAACTATCTACAGGGAATTATGTTTTATTGCTACATGGTAGTACTATGGGAATGAAATAGAGGAATACCAATTTAAAACTGTAAAAAAATAAAGAAGAAACGAACGAAAAAATAAATACTAAATAAATAGTCAGATGCTGGCCTCTCTTCTGAGATTATGCTCAACTTCTCGACACATAAATCCTGCAATGGAAACATGCCATTCGCAGATACTAAAAGTTTCACAAAATTGTTTAAGCGGAACTCTCAGCAAAATTAGATACAGTATGGAGATGTGGGGTAAAAAAAACTCCCTGAGAAGGTACACAAAACCATTCATGGGTTAACTCAGACATATGGAGATGTGGGCTGAATCACTCGTGCGGAACTCTGCTATCCAAAGTTGTAGGCTCATTGTGTGTACTGTAGCGTGTACCTAAATACAACGGTGGGGAAAAACTATTTGATATTTATTAGGAATCACCTTTAAATCAGTGGCACTTACTCGTTTCCGAGTGGTGCATCCATATATATAAATACAAAACAAGAACCTTAACTACAGAAAGTCAAATACATTAATAAAATTCGAAAGAACTTAAAGCATAACAATGAGAGTATATGTATACATGTATATATATAGAAATACATATGCATACATATACACACATATATATATACAGTGTTACACACACATAAATATATATATACACATATATATACACACATACACACATATATATATATATATGTTCATATACACACATATATATATATACATATATATATACATACATATACACACATATACATA